GAAAAAAAGTTTCATTTCCTGAAATGAGTAAAGAAAAATTGCACTTTTTCACAAAATTCCAATCTTTAGATTTAGATTCCCTGTGTAGCCACTAGATGTCACTGTTTACTGTCAAATGAAAAGACAAACACTCGTCATGCCTACAACTTCAAAAAGCATCTCAGTAATAAATAAATCTAGAAATTGCAAAATAAGATTTTAAATAAATAAAAAAAGAGTTTTTAAATTAAAAAAAAAATATATTATTTAGCAGAGTGGAACTTAATTAAAACCAAATCTACAATATGCATTGGCACGCTTATCCCAATTTCATCATCGCCGTCCTAAAATGATGGGCTAAGCAACTTTTTTCTGCATGTTTCTGAAACAAGAATTCTTTGCGCAGTCAGTTTTATGATAAAGATTTTTTTAATGTTGTTATTTTTTTATTTATTTATATTTTTTTATATTTAAATATACATTTCAATCATCATGAAGAATGTAGAATCAGGGAATTCCAAATAATTGGACTGAGAGTTTTTCAAAAATAAACCAATGAAGGATGTTATTGCTGTCCAGCTTAAGATAAATACTTTGCTCATTAAATATGTTTTGGTTTGGTCAAAATTGGTTTAAGCTGTGTTTGAAAAAAGTTACTGAAAGTAATCTTGCAATGTGTTAGCTGTTGGTTTCATGCAGTACTCCATTGGGCCAACACCTAGTCACTAATCAAGCCAGTAAACCCATAAATGGAAAAGGGGAGGTAATTTCTGCTTCACATTTCAATATTTCAGTAAGCCGTGAAACTGACGTTTTTTGTTTTTTTTTTTGGTCTCAGATGATGCTTCCAGTCAAACCATTTAATACATTCACACACTTTCTGGAAGCAAAAAATGTCTGCATTCTAGCGAGATCAGAGTTGTGGACAGGTCATGTTGTTTTCTTTTTCTTTTTTTTTTTTATGTTCACCTGCTAGGATTTATACAGATGTTTATCGAAATTATTTTAATGTGTTTTTTGCTTCATGACTATTTCAACATTGTTCCAGTCCTGTTTTTGTTATTATTTTCTAGCAATGAATATTGATTCTCCACACCAGTCATTTATATTTTAAACATTTAAAATATGCATGACCATGAAAGTGTTTTACAAAACCTCATATGAAATATTTTCTCTGTTTACATAAGGCAACCCATAAGAGGAACTGCAATGATTTTCTTAAGTCTTAGCTCAGTGGAAAGATTTAGTATTATGCTTATTAACTTGCCTGGGCTTCAGTTAATTACTCTCTTAGGTTTGCGGTAATCCATAAAATGCAACAATGGAATGTTTTTGTTCATTAATTATGTATTATTTTCCAGTTTCTTTGTCAATATAAATAACCAGTCGCTATAAAAATGTATGTCTCCCTATGAAGATATAAAGTGTTCAATTTAATATATAGTTGAAACAGGATTGTACATTAACTATCAAATGTTTGACTAGTTTTTTTTTGTTTGTTTGTTTGTTTTTTGTTACTGGCTTTCCATTTAGAAGTAAATAAAAAAAAATGTCTTGCTGTACATTTTCAAAATATTTGGTACAGTTGCCTTTTAAACTGCACAAGCCGTCAAACAGTTTGTGTACTTTCACAAAAAAAAAAAAAACAAAAAAACAAAAAAAACTCTTCTATTTATGGTTTGTTGGAGTTGGCCTATTGTTTCAGGCATATCAGATATAACTTATTTTTGAGGAGTGCCTTCTAAAAACATTGCTTCTCACCTAAGCACAAATTTTCTATGGGACTGATATTGCAGCGAAGTGTCATTTTACATTTGGAAAATATATTTAGGCCACAGCTTTAACTTCCTGGCTGATGGCTCAGGATGTTGCTTAAAGATTTTTTTTTTCTTTTCATTTTTCATAACACCATTTATTTTGTAAAGTGCTTCAGACATCGTTGCAGCAAAACACCCACAAAATTCGATGCTTCCTTTCCTGTATTTCTACTTCACAGTTTGGATGTTAATCTTGGCTTGCAAGCTTCCCATATTGTCTTCCAAAAGTAACTAGCTATGGCCACAAAAAGTTATTTTAATTTGATCAGATCAGACCTCAGGCCATGGTTAAAAAAAAAAGAAAAATATCCAAAGTATTTGTGACTGTGTGCATTTGCAAATATTACTCTGGCTTCTTCCTAGGAAAGTGGCCTTTCAACTTATTTCACTTTAAACATGAGATTGTGATTTTAGGTTCTGCCATATTTTCATGAGCATGAGAGTTCAACTCAGGTTCCAGAATGAACACTGACTGTATAATGGCTGGACCGATGTTCATCGTGTCCATACTTGCTGTGGATAAGTGAAGTATTTTTTCCAAATATGTTGAAGGATTACTCTTAATCTTCCCATCACCTCATATAAGTAAGCCGTGTGTTTGAGGCTTGCCTTAAAATACATTTACAGGTTGGCTTTCAAAGAGTCCATCAAAAACTTAACATTTAGGCTTTCTCAAAGAAGATGTAGTAACTAAAGTCTAGGTAAAGTTATACATTTGAAGAAAACATTAACAGTTTCGTCTGGTTTAATATCAGCCAGTGAGCAAAATGTTAGGGATATTTTTATGTCATGTAAACAGCAGGTTTCACAATAAATCTTTACTTCATTGCTAAATTGCTAAGTTTTGTTAATAACAAGATGATGCTCCTTATGATCTCATTATTCTGACCTGACATTGCTCAGAATTTAGTTTAAGACACAATGGAAAATGTTTCAGGGTGGCCTACATGGCACAACAGCAACAACTGAATAAAGTTCCAGTGTTGCTCTCATTGCCTAGACAAAGATGAACCACAACTGTGCGTGATGTTCGCTGCTTTGATGCCAGGGTTGTTTACATTACATAATGATGACCATGCTTTTGGTTTTAAAGCATTTCCATTGTCTCCATTCCTTCACAGGAAGACACATCACAGATTCATTAAAGGTATGTCTGCTGTTGGAAATGTAGTTATCATGGGTTAAATTACAGAACATGAATTGTAAAGTTGGATATTGCGTGTTTATTCTGAAAACATCATAGATGTAACTATTGTGGATTAAATTCTGGAGTGGAAGCTTTTCTATCTATTTTATGTCATTTTTTACTTTTATTATATTTTTTTACACTTGTGCATGGCATGTAAGCATACTGACTGTAAAAGGTAAATAAACAAACTCTGGTCTCAAAAGCACTATTTTGAAGACTTATGCCTTTTTATTCTTTCTTTTGTAGTAATGATTGGACCCATAATGCGGAACAGGCAGGGGAGAGAGTAGACAATTGATATTTTAATGAAAATAATAATTAGGCAAGAAGTTACCAAAACAGAAAACCTACTGGGAGTGGAAGAAAGAACAAAACAATAACCTGGTTACATGAAGGTAATGGAAGAATCCAGCTTGGAGTGAGTGTAGAAAGAGGCAGTTAAATAGTGGGAGCTTGGATGAAACAGGATTTTGTTTTCTGTAACATTTTTCTGAAATTGGTTAAAAATGGCTTTTAATTAGTAAAGAAATAATTAGGAAATCCTTTCAGTTTTGCCAAGTTGTTACATGAACCAAAGAGAAGATATTTACCTGCTTCTGTACATGATATGAAGTCCTGCAGAAATCACCCATTTATTCAAGCCAGGCATGTGACAGAAGGGAAACACCTAAAACATGCTGACCTACAGGGAAAGCACTTTTTCCCAGCAAATACTGGGAAATACTGGAAAAACAATTAACTTTAATTAAAGTCAAGGGAAAATGAAAATAACTAATGTGGCTTTCGGTGTGTGAAACTGTCCTTAAGAATACTGTAGCTTGCACTATAATTTTATGCTCGAGCGAAATTGACAGTTTGTATGATGACAGCATGAAGTATATCAAGTCAGCCAAGATCTCCTTCTCAATAAAACCAGATTGATGATGAATGTCTTAATGAAGGCAGAATAAAAGCAAACAGAGTTGAATCTGGAAATTATGAGTAAATAAACTGTTTTCCCACTACATTAATTATCTCGTGCCTTGATTCCAGTTTTAGGCAAGTTCACACTGTACAAGAGCAAGTTCAGAAATACAATTAGGTGGATTATGCTCCTTTTCACCCTTTTATGAGTTTCTGTGATCTGGCAAAAACTGGCTATTGACTTGCATCCAAAATTTCTCACAAGATATTATAGCTTAAACCTCAAGCTGTAAAATGAACAGGAATGTTGACTTTTATAGCAACGCAGTATATGATGGGCAAGTTTTAGGGCAGCACTCCAGAGGAAGCCACCCCACAATTAACATCCAAAGTGAGTTTTGCTTCTGAGCTTAGCTCCCTTAGGCTATGTCGTGCACTGGTTCAAAAACTCCCTTAGCTTGCACTATCAGGATGCAGGTTAGGGCATTTTGTAGAGCATGGGTTTGCAACTCTAGTCCTCGAGGCCTGGCAGCATTTAGATGTGTCCCAGGTCTAACCCACCTGAATCCAATGGCTGAATTATCTCCTCAGTATGCAGTCAAGTTCTCCAGAGGTCTGCTAATTACCTGATTATTTAAGTCAGGTGTGCTGAAGCAGAGACACGTCTAAAAATTGTACAACAACAGCCTTCAGGGGCTGGAGTTGTAGACCCCTGCTGTAGAGTGTGCTTTCAATGGTTCCTCCTCCTCCTCACAATTCATGATGCGTGGGGAATTCATGTTGATTGATAGCAACATGAATACATTTTGAAACCGAGCTGAAAATACTAGAAACTTTCTTCTGACTTTAGGATTCATCTAACATGCTAATTTAAGGGTATGTTTTTTTTTTGTTTTTTTTGCCAACTATGTGCATATTTCACAGGATGTGCAGCACACAATGATCTTTACGTTCAAGAAGCTTAAGAGTATTATATTTTTGTTTTGTTCTATTTCTTCTTTAAATTGTTTTGAGCTGCTTGGTCACATGATTTTTGATGCAGTCAGAAAAGTGTCTGAAAGCCATTCTTGTGGTAACTATGGCTTCTGGAGTGTCACAATAAACTTCCGAAATCAGTGTCTGCCCTTTATGGGCATGGTTAGGCTAAGATATTTCCAGTATGCTTGTTCTTTTATGGTGACCTTGCCACACCAATGTGCACAGGCCACACATGGATAAACTACAGGTATGCTGCCACCATGATGATCGCACCTCTCACATTTTGTGTTCAAAACTGTCCTCTTGATGCACTCGATGCAACCCATCCATGCTCTGTTTGATTTTTAATCTTGTGACGCATATCTAGCCCAGTGTAAAGTTTGCAAAATTGGCATAGTGCATTTAGGTGGTAACACAGGGCTCCGAGGGATGGATTGGGTCTCAAAACACTTATGTTTCAGTCCAGTTCCTTTTCTCCTTAAGCCAATTAAGATGTATTTGATGTTTTCTGTTCTTCAGGGGGGGCTTGACATGGATAGTGTGACGTTTGTAGGCAATGTCTAGTATTTGTATGTGTGTATTAGCTCTTCTGGAATAGATTTTGCTTGAAAATCCTCTCAAGGCTATCATTATCCCTGCAGTTGGTGCACCTTTTGTACCACACTTTTTCTTTCCACTCAATTTTCTGTTAAAATGCTTAAATTCAGAACTTTGTGAACAACTCGCATCCTCAACAATGACCTTTTGTGGCTTAACCTCCTTGTGAAGGGTGTTGATCTGTTAAGACAGTAGACTTAACAGAATACTGTCATAGTAGTCTGTTAAGTAGTAAAAGTACTCTTTCACTACTGTAGAGATTGAAAGACATTAAAAGCTCAGGAAACATCTGTTTCCTGAGCTTGAGTTAATGGGTTAATTAGGGTGTGACACCGCAAGTTTCAGATAATTACCTTTTTCATAATCTAACATGAAATTATGTAATTTTTCAAATGGGCTCCTTTTATGAAAACACTAAGAGTGTTTATTATTAAAAAGTATTTAGTAAAACTCATGCAAGAAATATCATGGATAAAAAATGTAGTTTACAAAGGATATGCAGACCACAACCATCAATATCTGTTCAAGTTTTCAACATTATTTTATAGGGTTGGGATACAGTTGCATTTGAGGGTTGCACTGCCCTGCCTGTTCTCACATAGTTCAGCAACAATGTATAGAAGTCACATTCTCTAGTTGTTCAGGCTGACACATTGATACCTTCAGCTTCATAATTATGCGTCACGTCGGATTTATCCTCATCTGTGATTAAGGAAATTCATTACAAAAATTATATGAAAAATCTGAAGAGATGATCTTTTCTCGGGAATTTGATTTGAACTATTGTGATTTGATTTAGGTTTTGTCATCATGAAACTGCAAATAGCATGCAGACTTTTACCCACCCACATTTTCAGCCAATCCAAACTTTTGAAATCATCATCATGCACACAGTTTATCTGTGCCTCTACCCTGCAGCAGGTCAGATATCATACAGCAGGTGATGGGGTTAAACCTGCAGCTTCTGCTCTGGCCCCGCCTCCCCTCTTCTCATCCCTGCATGCCTGCAGGCAAATCGGGTGGCTCAGGGCCGATTCATGTCGTTCCAAAGATTAACACCAGCAATTTGACCTGTCAGCGTGCTCATGAATCACCTGGATAAGGCATCATAACTCCTGAAGATTTATTAGAAACACATAGGCCAAATTTTCCTACTAAAGTAAATGGAGGAACGCCTGAGGTTTTAAGGATGTAGGTAGAGAATGTGTGGAGAAAAAAGGGAGATTAGCAAACGGGATGCTAAGATCATAATGGAGCTGATTTAAATCCAAAATTGTGTTACGTTTATACCTGTATCCAAGCAAACCTAAAATCTACGATTTGCTGTTTTACTATTGAAGATAATTATTATGTGCTTGCATAGCTCACTAGATGCCATTATGATGTACATCATTAAAACCTAAATCTGCTGAATACATTTTTGTGTTTAAGGAATTGTTCATCAATTGGGCATTATGTATCAATTCATTTAATTATTTGTACTCATTGATGCATGTTTTAAAACTACACTCTTTAAAGTTTCTCAGATAATTTCTAAAGCTTTTTTTGTTCCATTTGAATTAGTCCTCAGTAAATTTTAGTTCCAACTTTACGTTGGCTTATAATTTTTTATTTAAATTTTTTTATATTTGTCCTAATTGTAACAAATTGTGTTTTTGAAAAAAAACAAAAAACAAAACAAAAAAAAAACAACATACTAATACATAATCTTAGACTGAGAAAAAAAGTTACATGTGATTGACAGATTGACAGAGGAGCTGCATAAACGAGCAACTGGAAAAAAAAAAAGAAGAGACAGAATCATACATCAAACAGCAGCTGAAAACATCACATAGATGGACATAAAGTGGCTGTCTGGTGTAGATGTTGGAGTGACAGAGTTTAACCATCAGAACCAGTCTGAGCAGTTCCTGGTTCCAGAAGAATCTTTTGTCAAGAGCCAGGTGTTAATTATTCAGATTCTTTACTGTCTCTCAACAATGCAACACTCTAAGCTTTGAATGTCCATGCACAGTTGATTTCAAACTGAAAACTTTAGCATGTTGAGCCAGTTACTGCCAGTAATAATGATTCATATAACATGCTAATGCTGTTGACGTGAACTCAGATGTGTTTGGACATCGTGCTTTGTGGATGGGGTTCTTGTTACTTAGACTATCAAGTAAAAGTAATTTATGGTAACATGGCAAGCACCATCCTTTAATAAACAAGGTTTAAAATATCATTTGGTTATAGAATTATGATTTAATTTTGTTTTCTAATCTAATCCAATAAAATTAGATATCGCTTTGCTCTTTTAAGTCCTGCTTTTTACATTATTCTGCCTAAGTCCTGATTGTGCACAGGTGCACTCCAAAACATTTTTTGTTGTTATTTTTGTGGCTCCAGTGGCCTTTATTTGAAAGTGCTATGACAGGAAAGTCGGGCAATGACAGAGAGGGAAGACATGTAGCAAAGGTCACCAGGCCGAGAATCAAACCTGTGACGGCCGCGTCGAGGACCAAGACCTCCCAATGTGGACCTTGCTCAACCCCTGTGCCACCACAGCACCTCCAAAACAAAATTTTACAAGTATATCACTACTTTGAAGTTTTAAAGATGTTCAAAGGTAAAAAGCAATTGAGTCTACCTAAGCTGTATCTCATCCTCAAGCCTTTGGTTCTCCAGTCTTCTGCAGAAAGTCCTTCAGTTGTTTGAACACGATTTTTTGCAGTCAGAAATTGGAGCATTGAAGTGAGAAATAATACACTAGACTAGGCTCTGAATATTTCCTGTTAAAGGAACATACTGTTCAAATGAGGAACCAAATAGATATTTAGACTAACTCCGCAAACTTAAATGTTTGTCTATTTTATTTGAGCTATATATGTGTTGTTAACTTTGGCACAAAAGGTTTTCCCACAATTTCCTCTTAATTTTGGACCTATAAATCACTCTGCCACACATCAAATAACAGAGTGCAAAAAGAGGGTGTAGAAGTAAGCAAAGTGTCATAAATAAAACAGTGTTACAACGAACCCAAAAAGCTTGAGGCAGGTACTTCATAATGCTGCAAAATCACACGTCTTTTTTATGAATGCTGTGACTTTTAATGGGCTGGCAATGAGGCCATTGGCTGCAGTTTCAGTGACATAAATTTAACACAGAAAGCAAAGAGGAGGGCTTCCGAATCAGAGCTGGCACTGCCTCTACAATGAAGTAAAGCAGCATGATATAATATAATCAGGTCTATGTTAACGAGCAGCAAATTAACAGTCTTGATTTTTTTTTTTTGCCAGAGCAGTTGAAGAAGTCTATGGCTACACTGAAAATTTTGTGGAATAAATACAATATTTAAGTTTTTGTTCTTGCTGTTATATTCATGCATTTTTGTTTTGTTTCATTTAATCTGTTCTATAAAAAGACTGAAAAAAATAATGGTATATTACAAATTAGAACATGTTTATAACATATTCATCTGATTATAGCTTTTATGTTTACAGGTTGTGATCACAGAGGTATGTTAATACCTTTTAATGACTGGATCTTTTGTTCAGGCACATTACACCTACAGTCTTACTAAGGAACATTATTATTATTATTATTATTATTATTATTATTATTATTATTATTATTATTATTATTATTAGTGTTACGTCAAAACGAAACCCAAGTAAAATACATTTTTAGATAACATAAATGAATCTACCAAAGATCTTCTACTCATACATCAAACATCAGAGAAACAAACGAGACATAATGCATATGATTACTGAAATGTCACTCTGTCAACACAGAGTGACATTTCAAAGATGGCCTCCAGTGACCTTCCAGTCAATTCATCAGTGTCAAAGTCGTGAAGAGCTCTTCCAAGAATATGAAAAAAAAAACAAAAAAAAAAAAAAAAAACGAAGGGTTACTAACATGTTACTGCAACATCATATATTTGAAAAAAACAAAAAAACAATGCTTTCTCACAAGCCATGAGAATAAATCTCTTAAACTGAATTTTTGTTTTTATTTTTTAAGCTCCAAGTTAAATGTTTTCAATCAAATTTTTTGCAACACTGTCTGTTCTGCAGTTGCAGTGATTTTATTTGCATAACTAAAGAAAACAGTAAAGTAATTGATATGTGAATGTAGATTTGTGACCAAATTATCACTTATTGTTCCCTGGTCAGATATTAAATCATTGTCATTGTATTTGTAATAATCAACAGCACGTGCAGTTATTTAATTGAAAAGCAATATTAAAAATAAAAGAGGTAAGCAACAGAATATCAAGTAATGTATGGAAAGACAATTATCAAAACAATGTTTAGCAACACCTTAATAAACACGTTATAATTTTACAACAAATCACTTGACAAGTACAGTCAGAGAGTATAAATAACTTAAAATCATAAGAAATAACAAGATAGGGACTAAGTTGAAAAAGTATAAACTTTTGATAACCTGTTCCATGTAAATGGATAGCAAACTGTTATAAACATCTGCTTTATTATGTTTGCAGTTTGGAGATAATGTCATTAGCCCACCATGATGGTTGTGATTTGTAAGTGAAAACGTAACTCAAATAGTCACCAGTTCCCACCTGCTCCTCTGTGGAAGTAGTGCAGCAGTATAATTGCTTGTCTACCTGCAGGGCTGCCACACCTTTTCAAAAAGAAAAAGTTATCTGAAGAGTGAGTAAGAGTTAGTTCAGCTCTTTCTGAAATGTTGGAGTAACTTTATTGTTTCACATAAAACTGCTTAGTAGTAAAAGATTTAGTACAGTTTTTTTGTAGTATTGATACTGGGTGTGTTTTTACATCTACTCTATGCTGAGCAGCACACCTCTTAGGAAATTTAAGTTATACAGTGGTCATATGATTACTCATCATTTTGGAATTAATTAGTGATATGGGACCAAATCCTTGGAAATGTGCCAATGTTGAGCAAGAGCCTTTCAACTGTCAGTTTCAAAACAGCTGTATTTAATCCCCTGGGGGAAATTTTGAGCTTCTAATAAAAGGTAGGTGTTTTTGCTATGTCAAACTTAATTATTGTCATGAAACAGAAAGAAAAGGTTGCAGTGAATAGTGGATACTTGGTTAACTGAGATGCTGTGTGGACTGTTTACAGACTGACATGAACAGGTTTGTCACCTTATAAGGTAATGTACAAAACATCCAATAAAGGAAATGCTTGTGTACTATGTTGCTGCTGTGGTGTTCACAAATAATAAGAGACCTTTTGCTGCAAAGCCCTTTTACCCCCAGAGTGTGACAATCTGTGTCTTTGAGTATTTCTGCTTTTGAATTTGCTTTCAATAGAATTACTTTTTTGCACACAAAAAATAAAAACTACAAAGAAACTAAACAATTTTATACTATTAGAGAATCCCTATCAAGATAACTTAAGAATCATTTTTGCAAGAATGTTAGCACTATGCTCTTTACCAGTTGAATCACTATCACCTCTTCTACCTTTATTTTTGAACCTTTGTTCTCTACTCCACCCCTTTGGCCATAATTTTACACCTGAAAGATATATATATATATATATATATATATATATATATATATATATATATATATATATTTATATATATATATATATATTTTTTTTTTTTTTTTTTTTTGCAACAGTAAATAATGCAGCTTTTACTAGATCAACTTTTACACTTTGTGTTTCCATAACTTTAATAGCAACAATTAATGTTTTTGTTTTTGTTTTTTTTTTTCATTGTTTGTAATTTCTTTCACATTTTCTTGTCCATTCACACCAAACTTTACAACACATGGTAAGAGTTTTTTTAGCCCCATTCTATCTCAGCGGTTTATAAACTAAATGTAACAGTGTCCTCTTCCAGCTTCCTCAAAGTATAAAACTTTAATTTCGGGTGGATGTCATAGTTTGCTCTTTTATAGCATTCAGCTGGGAGACCGTGAACATGAAATTATATGCTGTGACCTAGCTGCACTGAATTTCAAACAACTTGTTAAATGTGAACTGGCATAGAGAGCTTCTGCCATGTCTTAAAAATATAAAAAGAAAGTAGCCTATTAAAGAGAAGTTTAAAAACCAAGTTTCTAAGTATTTAGTCAAATAAATGTCCACTTAAACTGCCCTCTGTTTTAGCATGTTGGTGATTTTAAAGTTGTTGTTATCTCTCTGTCTCTGTACTAAAGAATGTGAGTCACTCTGCTCAGTCCTGTGTTAGTTAATTACCGAGTCAGTCATAGATAGCAGCAGAAGGCCTTTGGGGTGTAAATCAGTTTCTTTGTTCCTCCTGTCTCTTTGTCTTTCTCAGGTTTTTCTTTTCACCAGTTGAGCTTTTTTTTTCAGAGGTACACAAGTGTGTTAGCATACCAGTATACTCTATTAACAGCTTTTACAGTAATCTGACTGTAATTAAAGTAGATACGTTCAAATCACAATTCCTTTAACTACAAGGAGAGACAGATTTAGTTAAGGGAGGACAGATTGTTTAGGAAAGAAATAAGTGATGGGATGCTGCAGCACATGAAAAATGATATACCTAAAAGCAATTTTCAATGCTTTTTTTTTTAACAGTCTGTGGTAAGTCGAGGGACTTAATTAAAATAAATTGGAGAAAAAAAAAATCTTTCATTAGACAGACACTGATTTGAAAATAACTTTCTACCTTGTTGCCTACTGTGACTAGCAAATAAATAGAACAGAACTCTATAATATTATACAAAGTGACATAAACTATTCCAACTTCACATAGTGACTGCGTGACTTTGTAGTGGTTCATACTTTTGAAAGTGGACAAAATAGTCCGGGCAAAGTCATGCAGTCACAGCAGCTTTGTTTGGGGCTCGTCACAAGAAGCTGCCCTATCGAGGCAGCAACTGAGTATGATAAGCTTCACAAATCTTAACAAGCAAATCTTAACTTACCATTTCAAGTATAAATATCTAAAATCAGAATTTCAAACCACAATAAGCAAATCTTTAAATTTGTCATTGTTTAGAGCAAACCAAGGTTGCAGCAAAAGGAGGTTCTACAAGGCATCAGCTATTCTGATAAAACAATAACAACAAAAAAAACATGGTTGCTCTTCCTCTTGACTTTTATGTTGGTTTATCACACAAAATCAAGTTAAAGTTGAAGTTTGTGGTTGTAATATGACAAAGTATGAAAACGTTCAGTCATAAAGCATAGTTTTGCAAGATGCCATGTTGTGCAACATTTCTACACAAACAGGTAATTTCATAAAATGTACACGTGCCAGAGGCAGAAAACTGGTAACAGCCATTCACACGTGTAAAATCAAGAAAAAATAGTTCTCACTATTCCCACATAGCTTCACTAATATGCATACTTATTCTTAATGTGGTCATGAGCAATGTCACTGTTGTCTTGGACTTCTCAATGATGTCTTACTCGGTTCCACACTTTTTTTTTCTTTTTTTTTGCCCAAGGCACATACTTTCAATCACTAGAGGGATAAAAAAGCTCAAGTTGATGGGATTTGGGATTCACACAGAGATCAAACTTGTGGTTCGTATCCTGAATGTAATAAATTTGTCAGTCAGAAACCCTATAGATCAGGGGTGTCAAACTCAATTTCACCGAGGGCCACTTCAGCATATTGGCCCCCCTCAACGGGCCACATTGACGGTACAAATCAGGAGTGCATCCCTGCTAAAACACCCCAGACAAAAGGTTGACTTCCCTCATTCAGTTCTGTAAAGGCTTATAATGAGTCAATGGTCCAGGTGTGTTAGAGAAGGAATCCATCTAAAGTTGCAGATGGTAGCTCTGGAAAACTAGACTTGGGCACCTCTAGCATAAATGTATAAAAATACAATGTTAAAAATAAATTAAACACCACCTCATATTGTTAAATAACTGATTTTATGTATTGCAGTTTTAAATATTACATTTGAGTTTCCATGGCCTATAAAATCCTGGGGGGCCACGAGTTTGACACATGCATTACGCCA